AGCTAAGTGTATGCGCGTTTATTAATAATTAATTATTAAAACGTTAATTACAGACATATATATTTACCTATACATATATACAATCTAAGCACTCGTTTGCTAATCTAATACAAATATATATGTATGTATATGTAATTTAAATGCAAAAACAACAAGCGTGGCTCTGTGTGCGGAGTTATGTAATTTTCAATGGATCTTTCAACTTTCTTGCAAAATGTACGATGCTGAAAGGTTTTGCTTTGCAAAAATGTGGCGACACTTGCGAAGCTGAATTTGCGCATTCGCTTAAAACTAAGTTCCAACAAACAGCAGTGCCTTTGTGCCCAAGCTGCTTCCACTAACTTTGTTTACGCCCAAACATAATATGAATATTGTAAAATATAAAAAAGTTCAAGAACACTTGAAAATATTTATTTATAATTTAAAAATATTTAAAGCTAAACTTAATACGTATTTTTAAAATAATAATACTAATTAGAGAGTTAAAATTTTCAGTGCTAAATATAAAAATAAATATATACTTACTTGCATACATACATAAATAAATATACATATGTACATGTATGCAAATTATGTATGTGCATGAACTTTTGAGCACAGACAGAGAGTCCAGAACATGAAAGCAATTGTAAAATAGATGGAAACAGCAACAATAACTGTAAAGTTTGAGAAGGAAAACAAAAACAAACAAAAAAGTAAAAACTAGGGAAATATTGTACCACAAAGTAATGAAGAAACCACACACACTCACATATATATACATATAAATGCATACACACATAAGCGCATATACAATATTAAAACATAAAAAAAAACGTTACACCCAAAATACACGCTTTATTTATATATAATATAATATAAAAATATATATATATGTATAAAATATTTAATACATTTGTATATGTACTATATACAATGTATAAGGCAAACTAAGCTGCGTTTCGAGCATGTAAAACTTTTTGTAATTTAACCTTTCAATTTGTTAACAACAAATGTGTGTCCACTATAGCACGTGCGTACACAGCTTGCAACAAATTTAAATTTTGAAAAATTTATTTAAATCAAAGGTTTGTAGATATATAACATATGTTTGTATTTAACTGCAAAAGCATAATGTATAATTAATTAATAACTTAAAAAAAATATTTAAAAATAAATTAAAATATTTAAAAATAAATTAAAATACTAAAAAAAATATTTAAAAATAAATTAAAATATTAAAAAAAATATTTAAAAATAAACTAAAATATATATATATATATAAAACTAAAAAACTCAAAAACTCAAAAAAACTACAAAACAATGCAAAAATACAAAAAATTAAAAAATGTAGAAAAGCAAATAAAAACTAAGAAAAAATTACATACATACAAAAATACAATATTGCAAAATTGTAACTGAACTGCAAAAACGAAAGCGTAAGCAAAAAGCAAAAACAAAAACAAAAAAAGAAAAAACTTGAATTGAAAACTAAAGCTAGAGTTTAAACATTTATCGATGTGAATTTTTCTAAGTGCGAATGCCTGTGTTAACATGTGACAGTGTCTGTATGCATGTGGAAAGACGCTGCAAAAGTGTTATTTACGAATCTGAAAAAATCTCTGTGTGCGTGTTAGTCTTTCGGTATGAATGCAGTTAACAAAAGTCAAAAGCTAAGTTAAACAATAAATAATTATTGTATTTAATTAATTAATTAATAAATACAAGAAAAAACAAAAAATTTCTTTTTATTTCACACTCATATATTTGTTAAATAAATTTCAAGAAACGCCTTAAGGTTTACATATAATACTACTTACATGCTTACAAGCGTTCATGTGCCTAAAAGTGTTATTTTTTTATTGTTTAAATTATGCACATAAAATTTAAAAACATATTTGTAATGAAAAAAGTAAATTGTAAAATTTGTGTTTTCACATTCCATAAAAAATTGTTTTCATTTAAATTTTTAAGTTTTTTAATTAATATATTAAAAAAAGAGAAAATTTCTACGGTTTACGTTATATAAAAATTATGAAGCCTAACTTCTTAAGGGATTACATGGGTTTCATCGAGCAAAAAACGACATATTTTCAATAATTTTTTTTTCATATAAAAATGAAATATTTTACTCAAACTTTTTATTATTCCGCAGTTACATATTTTGAATCAAGATAATAAAGACATAAAGATTTTGTGAAATTTTCAAAGAAAAATATTCAAAACTCGGTCATTACGACGTCATTTCCAACAGAATCATCAAAAGTAAAAAGAAAAAAATACGTGTTTGAACTAAGACCATTAATTAGGTATTTTGATAATAAAAATTTTTTGGCAGACATTTTTACAAAAACATGTAAATTTTGTTGAAAATTTCTCGACGTTTTCTGTTTTTTAAACAGTTGTAATTGAACAGAAAAAAAATCCTCTGCGGCAAGACTTTGTAAATTATAGCTCAAAGACGCGTGTAAAATTTCATTAAGATCGGTTAAGTAGTTCGCGAAAAATCTTGACAACCGACTTTGAAAACACAGTTTCGAGAAAAACGCGTTTACAGTTTCGAGTGCCTATATAGCTGACCTCGAGCGCGCAACTTTTCAAAGTTGTATCTCCAAAACTATTACTGGTTTCAACTTAAGAATTGAGGACAATGTTCTAGAGTTGTTATAGATAAGACAATTAAATTTTTTTTTTTGGAAGAGCCCATGTATCCCCTTAATGTAATTTCTTATTTTAATGAATTGTTTTCTTACTCACTTGCTTCTTATTTTTATTTGGTAAGCAATCTTAATTGTTTTACAACAATAAAAAAAAAATTTGTAAAAAAAAATTAATTTGTTAATAAAAAATTTAAAGAATTATCATTTACTTAAAAAAATTTAATACTAGCATAAAAGTTATATACCTCCTTTTAACACTTAATCATTTTAACATTAAACATCCTATTTATTATTTTTGTTTATATAAAAGACGTTATATATAGCCATTAGGAAAAAAATTAAAACTTTTTTATCTCAAAATTAACCATAAATTAATTTTGTATGTAATATTAATTTTTTTTGTAATATACATATATTTTTTTACATAGTTTTTATTTTTATTTTTCATATTTTCTTTTAGATATTTTTTTTCCAACCTTTTTTATTTAAACAATTTATTATTTTTATTCTGTTAATTTTTTTTTTTGTTATTCTTATACTTTTTTAATATTTCATTTTGTTTAATATTTTATTTTGTTTCTTTTTAATATTAAATTTTTTTGCTATTGTAAAATTTTTTAATATTTTATTTGTATTTTAATATTTTATTTTGTTTTACTATTTTACTATTTTATTTTTTTTGTTTATTTGTTTTTTTTTTATATACATATATTTTGTTAATATTATTTTTTTTTTGCTAATCTTATATATTTTTTTTGCTAATCTTATATTTTTTTTTGTTTATTTTAAATATATTTTGTTTATTTTAAATATTTTATTATTTTTATAATTTTATTCTTTTTTTTATATTAATTTTTTTTGATGTTTTTTATAATTTTTTTATATTGTATTTTACTTATTTTTTGATGTTTTTTTTTATAATAATAATTTTTATTTTACTTATTTTTTAATTCTAATTTTTTTTTAAAAAGTATTTTTGTACATATGTACATATGTATATTTTTTTTGTTAAATATACATTTTTAATTTAATATTTTATTTTTATTTTTGCTATAAAATATAAGATACATATTACTTTTTTAATATAATTTTTTTAATATTTTATTTTTTTGTATATAGTATGTATGTATGTATGTAATGTTTTTTTAGTAATTTATTATTTTTTTCTTTTAACTTTTTTTGTTAATTATATATTTTTTTAAATATTTCATTTTGTTTAATATATTTTTTATATAATATAATTTATTATATTTTTTATATAATATAATTTATTATTATTTTTTATATAATATAATTTATTATTTTTATTTGTTAATTTTGTTTTTTGTTAACTATATATTTTTTAATATATTTTGTTTAATTTTTTTTTGCTAATCTCATATTTATTATTAATACTTAATTTTTTTTAATATATATTTTTTTTAATATTTTACTTTTTTATTAAACTTTTTTTTTAAATATTTTATTTTTATTTAACATATTGTTTTTTTTTATTAATATTTTGTTTTTAGTATTAAATCTCACAACTAACAAGTACCACCTAGTCTCTGTTATAAGGTATAACAGCTAAAGTAGATTTAAAACTCAACCCAGCAAGTTTTTCCTCCAAACAATTTATAATTAAATATTACAAATAACAATTTTTAAAGTGATGAAATTTACTTTTGAACAGCAAAATTAACAGTTAATGTCTGCTCTGCAGCACTACTCAAAATCGACTTAAGCCGTTATATCTTGTGCCCCGGAATATAGATATGCGTTTCTTTAAATTATTAAACTCACCATATATAATAAACAAATTATTATGTGCGTATGTATGTAGAGTTATGTAAAATTAATACATACCTAGACGCATATGTACGTATGTTTAACCAATAAATTTTCCACAAATAACTATTTAGCTAAATATGTATAAATGAAATTGGCGTTTAGCAGGCGCTGTGAGTCAAATTGTGGATGCATTGAGTGATATTATTAAATACATGCGTACATATATGCATACATATTTGAAAAATGCTAAAAGTAAAGCACGAGTTATAAAATAGCTAAAGAAAAACAATTCTATCTAAAAATTAAGTAAAATGTGCTAAGAATTATATTATATAAGTATATAAATACAATAAGTATAGTGCTATATAAGTGTACCACTAAAGTGTAAAGTTATTGAAATATTGTTACTTAATGGATTTATGAATTTCGTGGAAAACAAAAAAAATGCATTTTTTACAACTACAAACGATTCAACTTACCTACGACTGTGCTACAACACTTGATTTCCTTAAACCGTTTCTTTAATGCATTTTGCTGTTTTTCGCCACTTTTCGCTCCTACTAAATTTTCTCGCAATTAAAAAGCGTTAAATTGAAATTGTAAATGTACAATATAATTATTAAAATAGCTCTTACGCATACGGAAATCAAAATTGCTGGCAAATATGCTGCGACACGACCATGCAGTCGTATGTCCATGCTAGTTTACTATAACAAGGAAATATGTATTTGCGTTGTTGTATATTTTAGCATTTAATTGCTAGTGAATAAACATAATTTAAGTAATACAAATAACAAATAAGAGTTTGCTAGTTTTATTAACTAATTACAAATGCTTCAAACAAAGTCAAACGAAAGCGTTTGCATTACGTATTCGTACCTATAAATATGTTTACATAAGACTTAAACTAAATACAGTTTAGAGTGACATGGTCACGTACTACATGATCTGTGCACGCAACGCCACTCTGCTGGGTATTTCGACATTGTTGACACGCAGCAATTGCACCAGATTGCGCAAAAAGTCTTGTGATATCTTCAGTTCGTCGTCCGTTTCAAGACGCTCGTACAGATCTAAAGCGGCTTGATAATTATTCGCCTTCGCGAAGTGTGTCAGCAGCATCGTGTAAATATTTTGCTCGTCAATAACGCGTCCGAAGCCGCGTGCGCCACGCGCCAGCCGCAGTAGCGTGCTCACCGCGCCCTCCTCGCCCAAGTACTCGCAGTTCTTCATTAGTAACGCCTCATTGATGCGGAACTCTGGATTGATGAGCAGTCGCCGCAATTGATTATCCGTGCCGGACTCGGCAAAGGCCAACAGCAGACCGCTATTCATGTTCAAGGTGCCATGTACTTTGGAGATGGCGCTGGTCACTTCGCTTAATAGCTGTTGTGCCGTTTCGCCGTTAACACCGCTATATTGCGTCACCTCTGGTTCATGGCCGTTGCTTAGGCGCACCAGCAGCGAGAGCAATTCGAACTGCAGCGGCGTGTGTTTGTAGAGCTCGGCGAGTTTTTTGAAATCGTCCACGGCGCCCTTAATGTCAAGGCGCAGCAAGCGCTCGCGCACAATCGGCCCCAAGACCGTGTTGTGCGCATTGCAGTATCTCAATTTCTGCAAAAAGTGGAAGTGTTCACGTGTCAAGTTGCGCTCCGGTTCCAGCGCAGGCATTTGTGCTGCCAGCTGCGCAACGTTTGTGAGAAAATTCCAAACATTTTTAAGAACATAGTCGCCGCCATGCACGCGTTGTGTGGTTGCGCGCGTTTCCAGCAATTGCTTCGCCCTGTCCAGCTGATTGTGGTGCACAAGCAGCGCAGCAAAGTCCATGAACTTGTGTTCGTCCAGCGAAAAGTCTGCGGCGTGTTTTATAAATGAAAAAATGAGTTACAAGTAGAACGAAAAGTGTGCGTCTTTTTACTTACTTGGGAACTCTTGCTGCAGTTGCTGTAAACACTTTTCGGCATTGGCCAGATCATTGATTTTGATATAGAGATCCAACGTGCTAGCCAACATACCAGCGCTGACCTGCACTTGCAGTTGATCACACTTGGCTTTGATCTCTTGTGCGCGCTCCAAACGTCCATTGCGCACGCATAGTTGCAAAAGTCGGCGAAGCAGCCCACGCGTGTTCATACCTTTCCCTTCTAATTCGATTAGATGGCATTCCAACTCATCGAGCGTCATGTCGCGTGGATGCTTTACGAAAGTCGAACCGGCATTGCTGCCAACACTGCTTGCGCTTTGCAGCAGCATTACATTTTGATCGATAATTTTATGCAACGCTTCTTTCAGCTTAGCTAGATTCTCATCCGTATTCATTTGCTCCTCGAGCGTTGTTATTATGGTGTTGGCGGCTGCGGGCGATATTGCCAGCCCGAATTTGGCGATTTCATCAACGAAGCGTTTTAGCGCTTTCAGATCGCTGCGCAAACGCAACTGTCCTTGTACCATAGTCAGCAGCAGCTGCCCGATCCAGTCAACTTTGCGGTTTTCGTTCTTTTTTGACAAGACCGCCAGCAGTTTAGCAAATTGCTGGTAACGCTTGGTAGCGCGCACATTAACAGTTGCATTGGCTAGTGTTGGCACCAATTGCTCAACTGTTAACTTGGTTGGGTACAGCTCAAGCAAATCATGTGCCGCCTCAAACCGCTGGCGCATTAATAAATACATGACTATTTCAATTAATACCAGTGACGGTTTGGCGCCTACATCATCAAGCGCCTTTATTGCTTTTTCTGGTTGCTGTAGCGTTATTGGTAAATTGGGCAGTACATAGAGCGCGATGGTCTCGCGATCGCAAGTCACATTGAGCGAGTTCATTTGTTTCAGTACGCCTAGCAGACCAGCTTCGCCCGATTGTTCATGGCTTTGCAATAGTGATGGCCAAAAATAGTGTGGACGCAGTGGTTCCAGCTGTGCCAGTGACTCCAAGAATGGTATGGCTAACTCGGCGTTGCGTCGCAGAGCTATTTCTGTGGCAATGTGCAGTGCGCGTGTGTTCTTGTTGCTATCCTGCAACATTTTTGCTATCTCTATAATTTCTGTGGCGCTGTATTTAGTGCGGAAGAGCTCTTGCAGCAGAAAGACGCCAAAGGTGTCGATACTTTGGTTTTCGTTGAAGCGTGGTGTAGGCAAATTGAATACAATAGCTTGCACTGTCGTTAGATTTCTGAAAATTTTGTTAAAAATTATTTTCATAACATTAAAGTAACTAATAGCGGAATTACCCGTTATGCAGAAGTTCCACACATAAGTGACGCAGTGGTATTGGCACTTCCGTGCCTACCGTGAAATCTTTGGGCAATTCACGTACCAGCTGCTTTATAAGTTCCTCATTATGCGGCGCTTTAACATGTAGAAGACTGCTAAGCATACGCACTACTTGCGAGTCGTTGAATTGTCCATGAAATTGACTTAACACTTCCGTTGCCTTTGCGTTGTCGTCATTTTCCAAGTATGCACACACCATTAAGGAGTGAGTTTCTGCGCTGGGCGTAATACCAGCAGCATTCATGTTGTCGAGCACCGAACGGCAACCAGCCAGATCATGATTGCGTGAGTGACCCCATAACAGCGCATTAAAGTGACGCATAGTCAGCGGAAGGTCATGTGAACGCATTTCCGCAAGCAGCGCTGTTGCTTGCTGCATATCACCAGCGCCACAAGCAGTCTCCAATAGTTCTGCATAAATATCTGTGAGTGCATATTCATTATTCACATTCAATTTGTTAAATTCGTCGAGAAATTTTTTGAAATCGGCGCATGGTGCACGATTGTGCTGCAGGACATGCAGCCAAGTTATATAATGTGATGCGTTTAATTGGTCATGTTGTGACAAATAGGACCACAATCGCTGAAAAAGCGCCAAACGTGTGTTGCTTGGACGTGCTGGCATTTGTGTGCCGGTGGCACGAAGTAGAAAATGTGCCTGCTCGTCACCAAGTAGTTGATTGTAAACATATGGATTCTTTTCCAATTGCGTGATGATTTTGTCACATAGCTCGAAGTGAAGTTGGCCTGTGTTTTGGTGTAGTGTCATTATCTTCTCCAATAGCACTGTGACTATAGGCGCTTTTGGCGCAGTTGTTGATTCAGCGGCAGTAGCATAACCATTGTGTATTGGAATCGGCAGAATATTCCATCTATTGCATAGTGATGGTTTCAACAGCTTTTGGGTTGCTCTTGTTGCATAACCGGTTTTAGCTAAAATTGGGTGAAAACCGAAACGTTTACTGATGCAACTCAATCGCTGCAACTTGCTGGTCACATTTAACAAACGTACACTCATTTTAATTAATGTTTAATACAAATTGCGCAAAACTTAGCACAGCAAAGGAAAAAGCGGCGATTCGAAAGCCGCAAGCACGCGTTGTTGTTCTGTTGTTGGTAAGGAGCGGTTGTCAAAATCAGCTGATGAAATAAACCGATGATAAGAAATCTGGCATGTGTTCAGTGTTGTGGTTTAAAGCTAAATTCAAATATTATTACAAACTTGTGAAACTTGCGTTGTAAAAAAGGTATGTGAAACTTAAATTGCTGATATATAGCATGATATTTATAAATATAGTTATTTAAGGTATGTAGAATTAAGTAGTCCATAAAACCAATCTTAATGCTACTTCTGTTCACTCTAATTTTCGACCTTGCCATCAGCTGTTAGGCAGGCCATTGAATGGCGACTGATAGTTGGTAAATTGCGCACTGATAACTAAATCTAATTAGTGTTTTAATGAATAAGTGCGTTGTAGCTGGCCGCTAAAAATGTGGCGTTTTCTATTCGTATCCAGCTGTGTGGTTTTATTATCCTTGGTTGCGTGTAACGATATATTAGACTACATTTCCAATAGTTGCGATAAACTTCAATATACATTCCGCTGGACCGACGTTCCTGCGACCGGTCAAAAATGTCCACAATCAATAGCTAAACTGCCAAACACCATTTATCTGCTTTACGACGTAAACCCGCCTGAAGGCTTCAATTTGCGTCGTGATGTCTACATACGTTTAGCGGTATTCGTACGCCAGTTGGCTAGCCGCAAACCTTTTCAAAATTTGCGTTTAGTGTTGCCGCCTTGGCGACGTTTAACTCATTGGAAATCTAGTCATCTGCAACAACATAGCCTACCTTGGGAACAGTTTTTTGATGTGGAAAGCATGCGACGCTACGCGCCTGTGCTCGACTTTCACGAATTTTTGACAGAGATCGCCCAGTTCGGTTTACAAGAACCACCTTACGTACAGGTTCAACAAGTGTTCCAGCTAATGAACTTTGACTACATGTTCGAACAAGACGTTTTCCATGAGAAGTTTCAATTCGAGCGCGATTGCCAAAAGGAACAGCACCTGCAAGGTTATCTGCTACAGCAGCCTATGCTGCTGGACAACGATTTTGTCTGCGTGCGCTATCAAGGCAGCGTGAATTTACTGGAACGTTTGCTGCGTCAACAATTGAAAAACAGCGTAGGACAGACGACGAACGATGTCAAAGTGTACGCCATACTCAACGCTGAGATTGTGCTGCACGATCAGTGGGGCGATAAGGAGTTTTGGCGCGCACGCCGTTCAATGCGCTTCGCTGAAACACTACAAGACATAGCTGTAGAGTATCGCGCGCGTGTACTAAATTCACATAAAGCCGAGGAGCGCGTGCAGCGACCACCGATGTGGGAGTTCGAACGCGCATATCGTGGCGCAGTGGGCGGTGACTATTTGGCGGTACACTTTCGACGTGGTGACTTTGTGCATTGGCGGCTAAGAAGCACACCCACATTAAAGTCGGCCGCCACACAAATACGCGAACAACTGCAATTACTCAATCTAACCACTGTCTATATAGCCACCGATACCACCGCTATGGAGTTGACCAATTTGAAGGCGTACTTGCAGCGTGTACGCGTGCGTCGCTTCACACCGGCAACGTTGACGCAAAAAGCGCTCATCAAGGATGGTGGTCAGGCAATAGTAGATCAAATAATATGTGCGCATGCGCGACACTTCATCGGCACATTTGAGAGCACATTCAGCTATCGTATATATGAGGAGCGTGAAATACTGGGATTTCCCAAACATAGCACCTTTAATACGCTCTGCAAGTATGCAACGCTGGAAGATTGCGAAAAGAATTCAGTTTGGCCGTTAGTCTACTAACAAACTCATTTGTAGGCATTTAATTGGTAGTTGAAAGCGAATTTTGTACTTCTACGCGCGTTGGCTCTAGCGGCTGACTGGCTATTTACTTAAGCATGCTAAAGTGGCACACTAACGCTGTGGTTTTTTATACAATTTTTTTTTTTTGGATAACTTTACAACCGTTTCCTCGCGCTTTGTTTGAGTTTGTCAGTATGTTCCATAATACTCGTTAATTAATAAAACTACTATATGTTTATTAAATTATAATAAAAAGCCAAGTTTTCGAATTCGCTATTTTTCTGAGGTAAACTTTATTACTTATTATGTGGTTTCAATCTCAAAATTTCAAAAATGTTTTTTAGCTGTAATTTGCTTATAACTATAAGTATAGGAAATGCTACTTATAAACATTTAATAATTTGAATAATTAAAAAATTTAAATTTTCTCTGATCAATAACATTTGTATGTATGTATGTAGGCATTTCAAAAATGGTTAATATTTAAGGTTTACGCTTTTATAAACATTATTTAACTAACAGTTTAATATTTTCTTTGTTTTATTGATATTTATTGATTTAACTTGTATAATATTGTGATAATGTTTATAATTTTGTTTATTTATATTAAATGTAGTTACCAACAAACTGCCGCCACATTGTATAACACTTGTGTCATTTCGCAAAAACTTTAACTACTTGTAAATAAGAAACAAAAATTTTGCTAGTAATAACTTCTAGTAGGTTGCTCGCACTAACACTAGTATGTACGTATGTGTATATTTTTATATGTAATTCTCAACGTTTTTATAAATGTTATATAAGGTAAAAGGCAAAAATTGCTTGCTTTACACTACAAACGCTTATAAAAACAACGATTTATTTTAAAACATTTTATGTTAACACTGCTTACCAAAAATGAGTGTAACGCGTCACAGCAAATATTGTTTAATGTGAACATTATTACTATTATTATTTGTTTTAGGTTATCACTTTAAACATACTTAAATTTATTACAATTTTTTTAGTTATCATAAGTAATATATACTATGTGTATATTTATATATATTTGACTTTGGCAGCCAGATAAAAATTTTTAGATAAATATTCATTGCTACATTTGAACAGTGTTGTTGTTACATAACGCTATAACAATGTTTTTGGAATCAGCTAAAAATTAAACACTAATAGAGTTTTCAAAAAGAAATATTTGCTTCAAAATTTTTTACGAAAATTATATATTATATAATTGGAAATTTATTAATTATATTAATATGAAGTTTTATATAATGAAGTCAATATTTTTATACGGCTTTATAATTTTTTACGAAAATTATATATAATTTTTGTGGAGTCTATATTTTTACACGGCTCTCAAGTTTTTTTAATTTCTCATTTATCTTTTTTAACTGCATAAATGTATTTATGCATGTGTTAAACAGTGTGTATATACATATATACATAGGTATACTTCATAATTGGAAAAAAAGAAAAAATTAAAAATTAAAAATATGTAACAGTGTTTAGAAAGTTGAAATGTATGTTTTTAAAAACAATTAAAAATTTAAAAAAGTTTTAAATTTTCTATAAAAAAAACAATAGTTATATAGCATTTCTTTTGTAAATATTTAATATAAAGTTTTTTTTTTGTTTTAAAAATTATTGGTAGTTTAACAACGTATTTGCGTTCCAATTTAATATTAAAAAAAAAAAATTTTTTTTAATTAAAAAAAAATATGTAACAGTGTTTAAAAAGTTGAAATGTATGTTTTTATTTAAATTTTGAAATTTAGGGTTTTTTTTTTAATTTGAAACGTCAAAAGCGAAACAAAAAAACGATACAGTTATAAAGCATTTTTTTGTAAATATTTAATATTAAGTTTATATTTTTTTATTTAAAAATTATTGGTAGTTTAAAAACGTATTTTGGTTCCAATTTAAATTAAAAAAAAAAAAGTAAAAAATATTTAAAAAAAGTAAAAAATATATAAAAAAAGTAAAAAATATATAAAAAAAGTAAAAAATATGTAAGTGTTTAGAAAGTTGAAATGTATGTATTTTTTTTAATTTTGAAATTTATGTTTTTGTTTTTTTAGTTTGAAACGTCTGCTTTTTAACAACATTACAAATTTCTACAAAAAAACAATGCAGTTATATAGCATTTTTTTTGTAAATATTTAATATTAAGTTTATATATTTTTTATTTTAAAAATTATTGGTAGTTTAAAAAACGTATTTCGTTTCAATTTAAATTCTAATGTTTTATAAACTCATTAGTTGCATGTAAGTAAAAAAAAAAAATTTTTTTTTGTGTAAATGTAATATTTGTTTACGCAAACACACAAATTAAACCAGCAAAATTGTTCAATCTATAATTCTCAAAATTAATTTTTAACGCATATATACAATTTTATAACTTTATTTAAAAAGTTAAGCATTTGTATTGTCAACTTAAATACTAAAATCTTAATAAAAAAAAAAATTCAACTTAAATATTAAAATCTTAAATAAAAAAAAATAAAAATTGAACTTAAATATTATCCCTGATAAATCGTTTTAAATTCCATAAATTGCACATTAAACTTATATAACAAAATTTAAAAAAAAAGTATGCTTTGCATAATTCAACACACACATTTATACATGTACATATGTATATTTTGCTTATAAAACTTTGATTTTCGCTTAATTAATTAAATTTAAGCAACAAGTGTTTTGTATATGGCTAGGTTTAGCATTTATATGTGTATATATGTATATATGTGAGAGTTATAGAGTTAGAGTAAAAGTGAGATTTAACTAAGCACTAATTAGAGGAAGCGCATATAATATGTATTAGAGAAGCACATAGTAACTAGAGCTTTAAATTGAATTACACATTTCAAGTTGATAGCTTTAGCGTAGTACAGTACCTAGTGATTTTTTTTAAATTTAAATATATATATTTAGTTATATTATTACAAACAGTATATTACGTTAACAATAATAGTGAAATAGTAAATTCTTTGCACTCGTACTGAGCAATGTATAGTGAGTGTCGTGTCAGTAAATATAATAAATAACAACTCGTTTAGCACTGCAGAAGTTTCAGCCTGTTAGTTGTACATTTGTAGCATCACTTCGATACAGTTATTTAAGTAAAAAAAAAATTTATATATTATATATAACAAATGACTAAAATTCTAATCGACATAATCTCGTATGATTAACTCGCGTTTCGTGTACGTATTCGCGTTGCTTGTGTGTGGTGGAATATTGAGCGCGGCGAAAATGCTGTTGCCAGTGCCATCAGGGCTACTGCTGGCGCTGCCACCACCACCACTGCCATTGCTATTATTGCTATTTAAACTGTTTAAGGTTATATTGAAATTGTTATTGAAATTGCGCGTGTGTAAATTGGCGCTTGCGTTCGCTGCACGTTCGCGCTGCAATTTGTTTAATTCATTTTGTAAACGCTGATTGCTCAGACGCAGGTTCTCATTTTCGCTAAGGCACTCACGCAGACTGCAAAAATTAAAATTAACATCAATTATTTCCACAACTTGACGTTAAATACTTCTTACCTCTTTAACTCGTCCTGCATGGTTTTGATATACTCGCAAGCTTTGATTAGTATTTGTGACTTGGAATCATTGGGCGGCGTGCGATTGCTGCTGTTATTGCTAGAATTACTGCTAGTACTCGTTTTGGCTGTCAACTGTTCCACTATGCCAATTTGTTGATTATTGTTGTTGTTGTTATTATTATTGACGCCTTCGGTCGGCAGCATTTCTTTCAGTTTAAAAATCCAATTGTTTATTTTATCGCGTCGCCGTCGTTCCACTTCGTTATGCGTTGCGCGTCGTTTATCATCGCGCTATATTATTATTATAAGCGGCAAAGCAGATATAAGCAAATATAAAATAGCAACATATATATATGTATATAAATTTATACACGCCTACCTTTTTATACGCCTCTAATATGCAACTGCGCTTTGTACTATTGCCCTGTGTGTCTGGAACGCTAATGTTTGCTACCGCCGTGGCATTTCTATTTGCATTTGTACGCCCATCGCCAATGACATTGACCGACTTGTTAGCGTTAATAAGCGGCTGTGGTGTATTACGCAGAATTTGCACACCATTTATTGTGGTTGTGGAAGTAGCAGCACTGGCGCATGCTGTAGACGTTACACAAGAGTCCGGCTCTAATTTAATTGATTCTATTGACTCGGTCGCTGGCGTATTTGTTGGTCCTTGCAATAACTCGCTTTCATCTGTGAGCATGTTGGGCACATTGTCTACATACTCCTTGACTATATAAATTTCGCAACCGTTCGATAGATGCATTGGCAACGCAGCATTAAAAGTCGTAGTTGCACTATCACTGACAATGCTGCTGTTGTCAATATTATCGATATTGTGGGGTTGACGTTGTATTTGATTGACAAGGCGATATTGCAATGGCAAGGTTTGTGTTGCCTGAGTGCTACTACTGCATAAAGTATCAGCATGTTCTTGTTTAATCGGTGTCAGAGTACTGCCAATGGCTAGATATTCCTGCGACTCATTTGAGTTCTCATCACAGATTGTAAGAAATACATTTGTGGGTAACATACTAACCGAATTAGTGCTATTGGCACTCGCATTCGAAGAATTGCCCAAAAAGATACTACAAATATGTGTGAAATGAATTACGTAAATTATGTGTAGCAATACTTACTTTGGCGTGCCACCAATGCTGGACGTTATATCGGTTGCATTCACAGAGCAGCTATTACTGATGCCAGCATCAATAGTTGCCGGCGCCAAAGACAACTCCAGTCGTGCTCGCTTATTCCTGTTATTCATACTGGTGTTCACTTCATACTACCTTTGGTATCGCTGTAATAATATGGTTTCGTCTGACGTCCAAAATGACCATCAAAATAAAATTTTCTTTTCGCCTTGTATTTACACTGTGGGAAAATGTTATATGCATCGGATTACTTAAATTGTTTGTAATTATTGTTTACATATTGCGAAAAAATCACAAAAATTACATTCGTAAATAAACAACATTTTTCAATAACTTAGCTTACGTTTTGACTTTTTCGTTATGAAAACAATGAAGAAATGTCAAATGAAAATACATCTAATTGTAAATGTTGCCGTAAGTTTAAAATAGATTAAAAATTGAAACGAAATTTGAATGACCAATAATATTATGATCGGAAAGCCTAATTAAAATTATCGATATGTAATAAAATAAATATTAATTAAACGTGTTTTAAATAGATATTTAGTCGCAAAACATAAGAGTTGTTTGAGAGGCATTGTTGTGGAAATATTATGTATGTTTGAAAACCACTGAAGTATATTCTTGAGTCGTTGGTTTATTTATTTACTTTTTCAAAGTCAATGAAGGCAATAGGAAGTAAAATAAATTGCTTTTGTTAGTTATTTTAGTAATGTATGCACCAGATAAAGAGTTAACACCTGTCTCCAGTGATAACACACTTTCGGAATTCATCGATGAAAGCAAATCCCGATTAAATGAAATTTTAAAACGTCTTGAATGGCATATTGAACCGGTGAGTTGGTATATACCTTCCAATAAAGCCAAAGGGGCGCTTAAAGTATTTACATATTTATATTTTTATATTTTAATAAGGATACTGCCACAGATACTGCTTTGAGAAATGAGAAACAAAACGACAAACAACTGGTGATTGACTTCGAACCGGACTTTCCTCCAAGTTGTGCTTCTGACAATTTCTGTATTACGGGTATATACATTTATTTATTGTCCAACCCCATTTATTTATTGTTTTTGTTCATACGTATATTTTTACATAGACGTTGAGGAGTTACGAAAAGTGTTAGGCGTTCCAGATAAAGATGTTCCTAAAAGATTTTCAGACTTGCAGTTGAATTTTTCCCGGACGGAAAAGCTATCTCTATACGAGCATGTTATAGCAAACACCAATAAATATACAGAGCCAGAAATAACGGTCGGGTAAGTAGATGTCAATTTTGAAAAGTTTCAGGCACGATTTTATAAAAAATAAATTTGTTTTATAAGATCACTAGATGAGGGTTCTCTGACATTCGCCGAAATTGTGGCACAAAAGAAGCGAGAGACCAAAAAACGTCGTCGGTATCGGCGCAGTAAGCCAACACATATTGAAGAAGTTCGCGCCGTTGTAGACCTACAAATGCAATCTTTACAGCAATATCTTAAAGAAAAGGAGTCGGAGGAGCGCATGAACCAGCTGATTGTAAATGAAAAATATAAGCCGAGAAGTGATAGAGATGGTAAATCGTCACGAGGAAGTAATGGTAGAATTCACACATCTGCAATACATCGCAATAAACAGCGAAGTAGAAGTAGAAGCAGAAGTTATGAGCGCAGAAGTCATAAGAAAAACAGACATAGAAGCCGCAGTGGAAGCAATCACCAGAGCAAAAAATATCGAAGGGATCGTAGCAGCAGTAAAAGCAGAAAACATCGCAACAGAAGCAGAAGCAAGAGTAGAAGAAAAACACATAAACGCCGCAGTAGGAGTCGCAGCCCGCCTTACCGTAGCAATAACAATAGAAATAAACTACATTATCGCCAAAGGGAATAGTATAGAGATAAGATGAATTTACAATATTTATATGGTATTCCTTTAATGATATTTGAAAACTGCAAGAAAACCCTTCCGCATTTATTCTCCATTTAGTGCTTATTTCGTCGATGAGCGAGTGCGCCTATTCCAGTGGAAGTTCAAGCCATAATTTTTGACACGTTCTACTTTTGGTTTTTCCTCAGCATCAATAAACCAACGCCAACCATTGCGTTCACAGTGCTCAATTGCTTCTTCCTTGGAACCAAATGTTACTTCCAAATTCGATAATGGATCGCCGCTATAAAAAATATGTATATATATTTTTTTATTTCTATATAATACATGTAAGTTAGTTTCACATACGTTGAGGTCCAACCCATTAATGGATTTTCCCATCGTTCACGGTTGTCGAACTCAATCACCCAATGTTTCAAATTATCAGTACCACTTTGCATAGCATTTTTGGGTGGCAAGTGAATGCATACACGACGTGTTTTAATATGTTCCTCCGGCACTCCACTTATAGGGCTAAGATCGACCTTTGTGGGGACTGTGATAGCTCCGCTAAGTTTCTGTTTCCTCTCCAATTCCTCAGGTTGGGAGATTACTTCGGACACATCGATTGGTGGGGCATCGCGTGAGCCCACGGACGACATACAGCGACTACCATTGTTGATTGTTTTTGCCCTGTAGTGACATGAATATTGCACTGAATTTTTACTTTTGAAATATTCACTTACCATTGAACTCCCTGGGGAGTTTTCGCTAAAATTTGACGCACAAAGGACATATTTAATGTGGCAAATAAGTAAGATTTCTATTATTACATAAAATTTTCCTTTTCTATTGCGAAAATTTGACAACTACTGAAGTTAACGTCAAATAAATTTTGTTATTGTTCTGAAATGACATTTGTGCACTTAACTGTCAAAGTTAATTGTCAAATGAGAGTTGTTTATTCGTGTGTTGATTTTTGTTTATATGAAATTAGTTCGTCTGAATAGCGATATTATTTATTAAAACGATTTCGATTCATAAAAATGGATGCCGTTGTGTTGGATAATGGTGCATATACTGCCAAAATAGGTTTATCAACGCAAGATGATCCGTCTATTGTGCCCAACTGTATTATGAAGGCAAAAGCGGAACGAAGGCGTGCATTTATTGGTAGCCAAATTGACGAATGCCGGGATGCTTCCGGACTATTTTTTATACTGTGTTTTCAAAAGGGATATCTTCTAAACTGGGATATTCAGAAGACCGTTTGGGATCATATATTTAGCAACGAAGGAACCGGTATTTCCCTGGAAGATCGTCCTATAGTAATAACTGAACCACAACTAAATTTCCCCAGTATACAAGAAGCTATGATGGAAATACTCTTCGAAGAGTATCACTGCTCCGGAGTGCACAAGTGTACAACCGCTGAGTTGGCAGCATATAATTATGCAGCGGAAAGCGAAGAAAGCCCTTTGCAGGCACTGAATTGTGTTGTCATAGACGTTGGATATAGTTTCACCCACGTAGTACCATTTGTGCGAGGACGGCGCATGGAACGTGGCATACGACGAGTCGAAGTTGGCGGCAAAGTGTTGACAAATCACTTAAAAGAACTTATTTCTTATCGACATTTAAATATGATGGACGAGTCGTATGTTGTTAATCAGATAAAAGAAGACGTTTGTTTTGTGTCACAAGATTTTAAGGATGACATGCGTGTGCATACAGCGGCCGAAAAGCGGGCAGAGGTAGTAGTAGAATATGTACTACCCGATTTTACGACAGTTAAACGTGGCTTTATACGCAATAAAGGAAAAAAAGAAAAAGAGTCTGAAAAGGAGGATAATGATAGAAATGAGGAAAGCGATCAGCAGTCGGTTCGACTTTGCAACGAACGTTTTACTGTGCCCGAATTACTTTTCAATCCCAGCGATGTGGGAATACAACAGGTTGGCATTCCGGAAGCTGTAATCGACTGTCTCAAAGATTGTCCTGTTTATTCGCACAGTGAGTTATTACGAAATATACTAATAATCGGTGGAAGTTCACTATTCCCGGGCTTTATACCGCGTTTAAAAGCCGAAATTCGCGCACTGGCACCTGATGATTTAGAAGTTTCATTAATTTTCCCAGATGATCCCATCTCTTATGGTTGGTATGGTGGTAAGGAATTGGCGGGTAGTGATGGTTTTAAAGACATGTTGCTTACCAGAGACGAGTACGAAGAGAACGGATATTCAGCGTGCAATGGCAAATAAATTAATTAAAAACCGTAAAAAATTATTGTTTTCTTTTGTTTCATATAGAGTACAACTTTGATATTCTGCTTGAAGCTTTAAAACAGCTATTTATTTTTAATTGTTTATAGAACTAACATCTTTAAATATCTTCATATGTTTCAAATTATTTGAAAACCAAACATAATCACAACTAGTACTTAACCAAAATTTGTAAACTAATTTTAAGCAGACTTATGCTTAAGAGCGTTTAGTAGAGCTGCGAATCTTTCGAGTTTATTGTAATATACGAGCTCATAAGTTATGAAATCTAAACTGCTCGCTTAAATTACTATAATGTCCGTCAGTTTATTGCGAGTAATTAGAAGCTAAATGATTCGCCACATCCGCACGTACCTTTTATGTTGGGATTGTTAAAAACGAACTCGCTGGATAGTTGGGACTCGACAAAATCCATTTCGGTACCTAAAATAAAAGTTTATTGAACCCAAATAGTAAATATGCGGCGCAAAAGATAAGAAAATGTAAACAAGTTCGTCAGTAACGCGTTATATAAGTAATATTGTGTAAAAATAAAATTCTTACCGAGTAGAGACAATTGAGCCTTCTTATCAATAAACACTTTGACACCATCTTGTACTACTTCTTCGTCGAATTTATCTGCAAAGAGCCATACATCAAATGTATATCATGTGTCTTATTGATTTAACATTTACCTTTTTCTTTTGCATAGTCCAGCGTGTAGGAAAGCCCATTGCATCCGCGCTGCCGCACTCCTACCTTTAAACCTGTCTATAATTACCAGCAATAAATACTCTGTTGTCAATAAATCTATATAAGACATATACTTACACACTCCGGTTTATCTTTCAATAATTCTTTAATACGGTTTACTGCGGAATTTGTCTAAAAATAGTTTGTTTTTGCAAAAAATATATTATTTTTGATCACATATATAGGGTAATTTCATCACCATATTTATGAGCTTACCAGTGTAAGAGCTGCTCTTGTCGGCAACAATTTGCGTCCTTTCAGTGCACGCACTGTCGCTGTAGCCACCACTTTTGTTGACATCTTTTGTATGCGTTAATATTTCACTTTAAATTATACGATTGTTTGATGTAATCGTACGCTTACAATTTTATTCATAACAGCAAATTTTCTTATTTACTTCTCTTTTATCAGCAATCCGTTTCATAACGACCGTAAACGAGTGACAGACAACAGCTGTTTTAAAGATGCGTTGCCAAGTTTTTTGCTTTTATTTTGAAGGGCGGAGTAATTGGTAACGCTGAGCCGTAATAGAATGCAAACATGTGTATTTTGACATTTGAGCGGAGTGTTTGACAGCATCATAAAATTTCTAGTGGGTTTGTGTTTCTGCGTTTAGTTGGGAATTGATAAATATTATGTTAATTTATATTTCCAATTTAATTAAATTGCATTCGTATACGAATCTATAGTGAGATTATTGCAACCAAGTAAACGGTATTCAAATTAATGTGCGCTAAAATTGAATTCTGACATTTAAGGTTATTTCTTTAATTTGTGTGATTCTGATGCGCTGGAGCTTTACTCTGCATTCCTCATCTCGGTTATCGCAGAGTCGGTTATCATAGAGGCTTTTGTCCACGCTTGCGTGTTGTTTCGGTTTGCGTGTATGTTTATTTCTCGAGGAGTTCCATTAGGTGTCTCATATATGCATATAAAATAAATTATCGCGAATGCCAGAAATACGGCTTTGGAGAAATAGCTGCGGCATTGTGACGCTCAATAACACAAAATACGCGGGCATACACATACATACACGCACACACAGGAGAATTGTGGTCAATCGCGCAAATACAAATTGGTGAACAGACAGAAAAGACAATTCTGAACAAGAACGCTTGGAGTGTTGTATTTGTTGGATTGTGTTTTATTTAAATTGGAATTTATTATACTTTTTTTTAAACATTTTCTGCGGTTGTGTCGAGTGGATCGGTTGTTTGCGCTGTGCTCAGCGGTTTTAGTTTGTTTTTCTTTCTTTGAGGCGACTAGTGCCGCGTTTTATAATTCTTTTAATACAAATTAATGAAACTAAAAATAAAACTAACAATATAAAAAACACGCAGAATAAACGTGCCGATATTTCATATCCATCAGGTACCACACCAATAGTAGCTGAAACTGCGGTGACATGAAAGCAATTGGTAAAAGACCCCTTGAAAATTAAGAAAAAAAAAAACTTAAAACGCACAGCTAACATATCGCATAAACATAAAGTGAAAATTGTAATAAAATAAGACTAAAATTGATATCAAAGTGAGGTTTTTACAACACAACATGGATCTGGTTGCAGAAAATGAGAATGAGGTGTTATGCGAGAAAATTATTAATGACATACAAGCGGTATTTCTCAAGGACCCAGACCTGTAAGTTAAAAACCATACTTACCATATATTTGCATATAACTAGCAATTCCCTGTCAGTCGCATCTAAGCAAACAAAACATTCACGCATAGACGCACATTCGTATTCATATTCATTAATTAACAATAGGTTTAGTGTTTTTGTTGTTGTAATAGCATTAACTATACTAAAGAAATGCTTAGCTGTATATACTGTTTGGTGTTTCATTTAATTCCAATGTGTATTTTTTAAAAAATATTTTCGCTATACACTGTGCCTTAAAATTTGAATGTTTGACTAAAATTAATTTACCATACGTGTTAGTATTTCTTGTCTGTTATTATGCGAAATAGATGTGCGTAAAATTTAATTTTGTGTCGTGGAAGCCACTCAATTACATGCACGACCTATTTATACTGATTGTTTTAATAATTAAATACTATATATTGTGTACAAGTATGTAAGTGCAAGTTTGCAACGCATTATTTAATGTTTTAAATATAACCTATTGGCGTTTGCAACATTATATCATTTGCTCTATATTTTACAATATTTTACGTTGTAAATATGTAAGTGCTGAACTCACATTTTTCATGCATGCTTGTACATACATTTATATTGGTTATATGTATACATATTCAATTAACTATAACAACACAGCTATAACAGTCGCTTACAATTTTCATACATTATTCCCGCTTCATTGATATTAGCTATGCGAGTTAATTGATTTGATTGTGCACAAGCGGCGTCCCTATAGATGATAGCAGCGGCCCCTAGGCCACAGCCCACAGCCCGCAGCTCGCACTTTTGTGAACCAAGCATACACGTACAGATATCATACAACAAGTTCACTTAATGCAGGCACACGTATGCATTCTTGTGGTTGTCGGTTATCATTAGAATTTATTTGTATTCGCAATGAGCGACAAATGTTTGACCTTGTCATTCAATTTAGCTGGAGCAGGCTGTGTTGCGCTCGTAAGCATTCATTTAATTCATCTAATGCCTGCACTGGGAGGCAGTTGAAAAATTGTATGCACACATTAATAATAATAAATACATGGTTATGTTCATACTTTATATTTGCTTTTTTGTGTTTTTTGTGTTTTTGGTGTTTGTTTTTATTATTGCTACTCTAAATAATTATTCGACTTCACACATGTAAGTACATGCATACTGTCATACACACGCATTCATCTTGACATGCCAACACGCATTTACTGCAACATCGTCAAGTATTTGCACATTTAACTGACTTTTTCAAATTTCTTACGTTATTTTAGCTCCACATTTGAAATCATACCGACTATTTTGAATCGCAACAAATCGCCCGTGGTCCATGCCGAACATCATCTGGGGCTGGAGTCGTGGTGTGTCAAACATGTATACGATCATGCGCACAAGGCGATAATTGGTTATCGGCGGCAGCATCAAACACGCTATCTGCAACACAGCGATGTGCTGCTGAAGTATCTGAATGTGGCGCTGCTAATTAATACGGATGTGGCCACATTCTGGAACATACGCCGCCAAATGGTGCAGACGAATCACTTGAAAATTAATTGCGAATTTAAATTCTCCGCGCTTATACTGTCGAAGAAGCCAAAATCGAGCGAAGCCTTCGCATATCGACGCTGGTTGTATTCGTTTCAGAGTGAGTACCCAGATAATGAGAGATTTTAGCGCAAATAAAGAAAGTGCCGCAAACTATTTGTGTGCTTACAGTATGTTGGAACTTGCCACAAATAGTTTGGCCACAAATAGTTTGCAAGCGTTCGCTTCTGGCTTTTATAACACATTGTTTTTGCTTTTAACTAAAATGCTCTCAATGACAGGTCACGACGCCATCGATTGGCCCAGTGAGTTTGGCATTTGTGACCGTTGCGCCGATCGCAGCGCGAATAATTACCACGCATGGACGCATCGCCAATGGGTGCTACAGAATGCGCCCGATCTGATACGCTCCGAATTGATGATAACCGAAAAGTTCATGCGTAAACACATTAGCGACTACAGCAGCTATCATTATCGCCAAACGCTGCTTGAGCGCGCCTACGCATTGTGCTACTACGAATCAAATGAGCTGGAACATTTACATAATTTGAAAGATTTGATTAGCTATTATCTGCAAGATGATTTGGAAATACTTAGCACAGTCGATGTCTTGCAAATAATGTTGCCCGGCGTCGATCGTGCAGCGCTGGGCGAACCACGGCTCAGCTCCTTTCTCTATTGCTGCAATTTGGCTGCGCACGATATACGTCTGTGTGACGATCAGAAGAATATGTATGGCGTGCGTGAATCATTTGAGAATCATCGACGCTCATCGTTGCGTTTCATTGTGGAGAATTGCGTGCGTTTGTTGTTGGGTGAATTGCCGGGTCTGTATTTGACGCCGCGTACATATGCGCAACTGCAGGAGTTCAATGCAGCGCTGAAGAAGTTCGATTATGCAACCAATACATTTTTGTCGGCGCTTAAGCGTTCGGAGGCGCTTCTGGGCGACAGTCATCGCAAATGGTGTACAATTTTTTTGGGCTTTAATTACGCGTGAAGCGTGTGCAGCGCATGCGCAAATGGCAAATTATTGCTGTTTTTAGTGAACTCATTTTCGAGTTTTAGCGGCGACAATGAATAAAGTTATATATTTAATATCGTCGTATAAAATATCATATGTTGCCGCGACTATTGTTAGCAGAGCCTAAGGCCGTGGCTTAGCATTGTGCTTCTTTAAAACTGTTAAAGTTAAAGTGGTGTCAAAAAAAAAATTCTAAAATTTAAAACAGAAAAATGCGTCTAAAATATATATACAAATATAGCTTAATTCATGGTTTTTGTCAGTTTGTCAAACCGTTGTGTTTGTTTAGTGCTCATATAACGTTACTTTCTTACGCGTTATATTCGTTACATAATACACATACATATATACATCTAGAAACTGCATTTATAATTTAACTTAAAACTATGAAAAAAACTAAAATATTTTATACCATATCTATAGTTCACTACTACGCTGTCTACCACACTGTGCATAAAACATAAATAAAATATAAATTTAAGTAATACTTGTATAATTAACTACACTTTCGCATAAGTATAAAGCTGTCATTTAAAAAATCAAAATTTTTGTTACAACGCGTTGACAAACAAAAATACTTTTACACCAAATACTCTTGTAATCCAATAAATATATTGTATATTAAGTAAAGCAGCAGAAATATATAGTTAGCATTTAATAGAAAATTGTAGCATGAATTTAAAGGAATGTATATTGTAAAGAAAATTTGTAAAATAAAAAAAACAATATGTAAAAGAGACTATTTTGAAAAATATGCGTGTGTTTCATTTACAACTAAGTCACAGCCAGCAGGTATAGTCGGATACCTTATAAAGCGCTTACATAAGTTATCAGCGAGACGAGCTGAGTTGATTTAGGCATGCGCGTATGTCTCATCGTCTGTATATACCTAATTTAGCCCGATTGCTCGAAGCAAAGTTCATTCTCCGTAGAAATTGTGTCATCGGCTCACTATAGCTCTAGCTGCCATACAAGCTGACCGATGTAAATCAAGCTCTTGTATGGAAACTTTTTTATATGTGAAGTGTATTATAGCATATATGTTTGTATCTAACATACTATTTTTATTTTTGTTATAGCATTTCATGCATAACAGCTATTTTATTTATTATTTTTAATTTTATTTGTACTTTTCAAGCTTTCAAAATTATATAAAATATTCTTAAATTTCCTTTAGGGTTTCTCTTCCTTTTACACGCATACATAGGTATTAATTTAAAAATATATACATAAATCTCCTCTTGTATACTGAACGTAGCAGCTTTTTAGGCGCGCTTTTATTTGCCATATGTTTTCTTCATGTCTAAACAGGTATGGCAGGGCAAATATTGACTAACAACTGTGTAGAAATTCATACACTCATTTCGATATATGCATTTATGTATATAAATATGTTTATTTACATATAATTATACACATAAAGCAGATGTCTGTTACGCCAGTTCTCCACTCAATAATTCACGTGGGGCTTGTAGTGACCTCCACTAATATATGCGTTGCTTTGCGTATTGATAAGAAGCACTGCCTGTAACTGTAAACCCAAATATCTGCATATTCTTATTTCATTACAACAACAACAACACATCGTAATTAACTTTTAAATTTCGTTTTTTTTTCTAAATATAAATAGCAGTTTTTGATTTTTTTCTAGTTACTTTGTTTACTATACTACAACAACAACAACATTGTTATTAACATTTTGTTTTTCTAAATATTTAATTTTCGCTGTTTTTCTAATTTACATCTAATTTTTAAATTTATTTTATTATTCCACCTGGGCAGCGCGCCAAATGCCGCTGTGCGCAAAATAAACAAATCTAAAAGAAGAAAATATTTAATAGAACATTAAGTTATGCACATATTAAAAGAAAACATACATACAAACATGTACATATATTACATGTACATATGTAAATGAGTGTATTAAGCGCTTGACAAAATATCAGTTGTTTGCAGGTTCGAAATACAGTCGCGAAAATAACATTTGTTACAATAACAAAATTTTTCTTGCATTAGGTGTCTACTGACTGTTAATTTCTAACGACTTGCACTCACGAACCAACAAATTCATAAGTCATGCAGTTGCCTGCTACTAACTAAGCACACATGCCACAAAAAACGCGGCCCAAAAAGTGTCACGTAGCCAGCGCGATTTTCATACAATATTACTATATAGACACATACATATATTATATATATATATATATGTATATGCATAAGTTTAAGCAGACAAGTGAAAGCAATGAAAACCTATAAATTAAACAATCAATTAGAATTGCGTCTGTCGTTGACCCTGCCCCAGTCGCTTTACTTAGCACAAAAGTGAGTTTTTTGCTTGTTTGTGTCTTAATGGATGCGTTGCGGCAGCCAAAATTCCATTAACTACATAGCACTTTATATGTACATATATCATATATAAATATATGTGTACCACTACTGTTTGTATAAACACATCGCGCCACCAACTGGCTAACTAGTGCCACATTCGAGTGCTCGAGCAGAAGTTAGCGAAAAGGCAACGCAAATGAAGACAGTCGCTCAGTTAAAAGGTCGCCAACGGATGGGCGCGTACAAGCGGCATTTTAAGCGTGGGAGTGTTGAAAGTTTTCAAATGCAGCAAATTGCTTAAATTAATATTTCTTGTATAATGCCAAATGAAAATTATACAATTTATTAAAGTTTATATAAACAATTTTAATTAATATAAGCAAAGGTTCATACTCTGCAAGGCACGCGTTAGAAGTGCAGCCTTCGCTGTAATCTAATAAAGCCTACATGTTTTACTTATTGACATAACCGCTAGCAGCTAGAAGCCTTTACACACAACACTTTCATTTGCAGAAATTAGCTGGTCAATTTGACGATTTCCTCATATGAGTACTTTGCTGATTAGACCGCTCGCTGTTGAAGGTGAAAGTGGTCGCGTCAGCGCTCAACATGCGGTCACTCGCTATGTACTTGTAACTGCGCTGCGCGGCCGACAGTGTAACAGCAGCAGCAACAACAACAAACTAGAATTACTCGTTAACATTAAGTGACAAGAGAACATCGTTGAACTGTAAAAAAAATAATATGAAAAAAACAAAATAGAATAAAGCAAAAAATAACAACAAAATCCATTGTACACGTCAAACTCATTGTGAATATCGTTAGCAAATGTTTTCTCATTACAAACTAACTAGCACAACAAAAGCATATTGACAACAAGCACGCCAGAAACATAATAAAGTACAATAAAAGCAAAAAAAAATATAAAAAATAAACGTCTAAGTAATGAGGCGGCAGTCGATTTAAAAAAAACGAATTTGCAGCGCAAAACAAACGCAAGCCTTTGGCCTCAAGGTTTCCGCGTTCACTCAAAAACCGGCATTTTGCTTTCCGCTATTTATATATATTTTTATGTTTGACTTTTCTTTGCAACAAACGAAAATGTGTCCCTCAGTAAGACGGCGCCCACAACCGCGTTTATTTTGCTAATTTTCATTGTCAGTTTCAGTGGCAGCGTAAGCGTATGCTCGACGCTTGCCGTACAAAAAGTGTGAAACCTAAAATTTACTGTGTTTGAGATTTAAAATTTAAACTAACTGCTTATCAGTAGCTGTTGCAAGAATAAGTTTTACATTCACGCGGCGTTTTAATTGCTTTAACGAAACTAAAAAATGACGCAAAATTATAAGAATATGCAATATCTGTCCGTTAATACGGAGGATTACTTGCGTCCATTGCGCCCGGGGCATCGGCGCATTAGTCGCTCCATCTCACCCGGCTTGGATACAATGGAATCGTTGGAGGAGTGCGAGAGCAATTACGATTTGAGAAAGACTGCGAGTAGTAAATGTGAGTAATGGACAGTGCTGGGCGAGCGCCAGTTGTGAACGCCGTGTTATTTGGCATTAAGGAGAATTTTGTGCTGCTGATTTCTAAAAACTTATTTCTGCAGTCAAAATCCTCGTAAATGAAGCTTAAATGTTGCTAGTTGTTCGACCGAGTTTGATCTATTTTTTTCTCCAATCTACAATCGTTCAGCGCAAAAAGTTAGGCTTTTCACAGTGCGTTCACACGTTTCCTTAAGAACGAGGAAAGTCACTTAGAGAATATGATACTATCGTCGTCAGCCTTCGGTTCATACCTTTTGTTAGTTAGAACGAATTTTCTAATCGGTCGTGTAAAATGTGCTTGATCTCAAAGACTGCTAGTCGGTATATAAGAACAATCGGTCGTTACGTTTTTAAAAAATTTGAACAAATTGTTCATTAATGTAAATACAAAAATGGTTTCTATTAAAAGCATTAAAATTTTAACTCTCGGCAGGCGGTAAGCTTTTTCGACAGTCTTTTCAAATTGCCATTGGTATAAACTTGCATGGTTCAAGTTTAAATTAATCGCGCATTGAGACGATAATGGTAAACTAAAGCCGATTTAGGGTTTAATACACTTTTAATTACGAACGAAGGTTTTCGCTTATACGAATCATTATATATGTATAAGGCTCCGAACAAATGGAAGACCATTCCGATTTCTTCAACGTCTAATCATTTCAATTAAAAGTTTAAATTACTTTTCAAACATTTTATCTTACCTGTCTATTTAATGATTTGTTACTACCAAACCGCTGACCAATATTTTTTATAACCTTTAGCGTTGCTTTTACTACACAAATTTACGTCGAGCGACTCAAATCTCAGCACCACCGAGAGCACAACAAGTGGTCGGAAAGCATTTTATAAGTCCACCGAAAATCTTTGTTTTGGACGTCCTAAGAAACGTTTACTTCGGCAAGAGCAAGTGAATGAAATATATTTACCACGCCCACGTGCGCGTTGTAACACTGATCCGGTGGATACTGATCGGCTGAGAGCTGCTATACCAGTGCCTATTTTGAGTGTGCCACCAACATCTAATTCCGCGTGCAATTCATTAGCGAGTTCAGTGGCGCCCACGCCATTACTCGGTCGAAAGCATCATCAACGCCGATCGAGCGCATTGAGTTCTCTGATCGAGCAAGCTTTAAAGGTGACAACAGCATCGATGGGTTTAAAGGCGAAAACGGATGAAAGGTGAGTGCAATATGCGAAAGGCTTAAATATTAATATCGCATTTTTCATCGCGAATGCAGACTTTTGTTATTGTGATTAGTCTTATGTTATCGCACTATATTAAAACATTTCATATGTTAACACGTCACATCACATGTACGACGTCACATCATATCATATGAAACCGCAGGCCACTAGCTGAAACCGGCAGCAGCGTTTCTTATATCGTGCTAGGCCTGAAATCCAACGCCATATCAAGTCATACGATAGTATATCACATCACATGATAACACGTCACATCATATCATATGACACCGCAGGCCACTGATTGGAGCCAGCAGCAGCGTTTCTTATATAGGCCAGTCCTGCAGGCCACGGCCATGTCAGGTAAACAAGTCATATGATAACTTATCACATCACATGCTAACACGTCACACCATATCATATGACGCCGCAGGCCACTGATTGGAGCCAGCAGCAGCGTTTCTTATATAGTGCCAGTCCTGCAGGCCACCGCCATGTCTTGTTAACAAGTCATATGATAACACATCACATCACATGATAACACGTCACATCATATGTTATGACACCGCAGGCCACTGATTGGAGCCAGCAGCAGCGTTTCTTATATAGTGCCAGTCCTGCAGGCCACCGCCATGTCTTGTAAACAAGTCATATGATAACACATCACATCATATGTTATGACAGCGCTGGCTAC